CCAGCTTCGTGAAAGTGGCGAGGACCGTGCGCGCTTCCGGAGAAACGGGACGATGGCAACTTCCGCGGAAGGATCTCCGCGGATCCCCCGAAATTACGAATTAATTAACCGACGGACCGCCAAAGCAACGGGGATGTGTATACGTGTTGGGGAAGGGAGGATTGAGTGATTTCGTTTCTACCAGGATTGCAAAGTGAATGAAATGCGTAATGCGCTTTGTGCTCGAAATTTTGAGGGAAATGTTATTTAGATTTTTGTTTATTGTTTTTTAGGGTTATTATTATATTGTTTGATTGGGTGCTTGTAGAGTTTTTTGTTAAAATTTTGATCTTTTTTTTTTTATTTCATTCTTTTGGAACTTGATAATCGACGATAATGAATATTGAATCGGTAAAACCTTTGTGTTTTGCGAGGTTTGTTCGTTTTATGATTTCGATTATTTTTGTTTTCATCTTTCTTTTTATCGTGATTATCGCGTGAAGCTTTTTCATATAATGAAATATTTGAACGTCAAGAGAAAGAGAATTTGCGATATTTTCATTTATTTTTCACTCGAATTTACTCGAAAATTACATGGAGATTAATTGAAATGATGAGAAGTTTGAAATGTTTGTAGCACTTGGAAGTTATCTTTGAAATAATTAATATCGGTCGATAACGTTAAATTAATTAATTATTATTTGTATACATCTAATGTATATTTCGAGCCAGCCAATTATGATAGATATAATATTGTAATTAACAATTTTATTTTTTTAATCTATTGATTATTATCTATATTGCCAATATCCAATCATTAAAATTTATTTTTTCTCTTTATTTCTGTTATAAATTATTATTTCGAATAAAAGCATTTCATTTTTCTCTTCTTCTTTTCTTTTCTTTTTAACGATATAAATAAAACAAGTAGATAATAGTAGCTCGAAATTCTTTAAATAATTCTTCTCATTAATTTGTCGCCGTGTTAATTAGCAGTTAATCGTAATCGCAATTATGAATTTACAAAGTTAAAAGGAAAATGGCAACAGGTAGGAAAATTATATTACTATTACTTACAAGAAAGTCTTTATTATCAAGTTTATTACGATTTCACAGACCTTTTGTGAATGTAACAGGAATACTTGATTAAATCGTCCAATTCATTTGTCAGAGAAAAGCAGCTTACATCCACAAATTCTGATTAATATTAGATACAAATAGTCTTTTGAGACACAATCTTTTGTAACAAATTGGTCATTAGTACTTAAACGTAAAAAAGATATTCATCTTACTGTTTGTATTTTTTTAAAAACAATATTTCTTTGAAAAAAATCATATAATTTATATGTAAATGTAATTTAATTAAACTTTTTAGGTATCGTTATTATATCTTTACTATTATTATATTACTATATTTTTTTTTTTAAACTTCACATTAATTTATTCGACGATTCATCAGGCGTATCCAAAATTAATTTTTTTATATTTACACTCATTTGAATTATTATTTATTCTAAGCATTAGGCTCACGGAATTAATATTATTGATAAAATTTTACAAATAAACTACACTTACCAATAATAATAAATACTCTCGTAACTCATTTAACTTGTCAAATATAAAAAATTATAATACACGTGATATACTTGTAACAAATTCATGCATTATTTATCATCACCTGATAAATCGTCCAAGATTAATAATCGTATTATCTTCTTTCGACGAAATGTTGACAATTGTCCATTTATCAGGGCATCTAATAAATCCGTCGACGATTTCAAAAACGGCCAATTCCCTAATCTGTTTAACCAACCTCCCCAGTGGCCGATCCTGGCCGTAAAACAACGCTTGATATTGATTTAAATGTTTAACTTGGCGACGATTCCCACAGATTTATCGGTCTATTAA